TTCAATTTTTGACCCTAAAATTCTCCCCCAAAAATTTCAATTTTTTCCCTCTAAAAATTCGAATTTTTGGCCTAAAAATTCAATTTTTTACCCCAAATTTTCCTCCCAAAATTTCAAATTTTTTTCCCTAAAAAATCCGATTTTTTTCTGCCCCAAAAGTTCAATTTTTTACCCCAAATTTTCTCCTTAAAATTCAATTTTTGACCCTAAAATTCTCCCCCAAAAATTTCAATTTTTTCCCTCTAAAAATTCGAATTTTTACCCCAAAATTCACATTTTTTCCCTAAAAAATCCGATTTTTTTCTGCCCCAAAAGTTCAATTTTTTACCCCAAATTTTCTCCTTAAAATTCAATTTTTGACCCTAAAATCCCCCCAAAAATTTCAATTTTTCCCCTCTAAAAATTCGATTTTTTTACCCCAAATTTTCCTCCCAAAAATTCAATTTTTTTCCCTAAAAATCCGATTTTTTTCTACCCCAAATTTTCTCCTTAAAATTCAATTTTTGACCCTAAAATTCTCCCCCAAAAATTTCAATTTTTTCCCTCTAAAAATTCGAATTTTTACCCCAAAATTCACATTTTTTCCCTAAAAAATCCGATCTTTTTCTGCCCCAAAAATTCCAATTTTTACCCCAAATTTTCCTCCCAAAAATTCAATTTTTTTCCACCCCAAATTTTCTCCCAAAAATTCAATTTTTGACCCTAAAATCCCCCCCAAAAAATTCAATTTTTTCCCTCTAAAATTTCGATTTTTCGCCTCATTTTTTGATTTTTTCTGCCCCAAAAATTCAATTTTTTACCCCAAATTTTCTCCTTAAAATTCAATTTTTTACCCTAAAATCCCCCCAAAAATTTCAATTTTTTTCCCTCTAAAAATTCGAACTTTTACCCCAAAATTCACATTTTTTTCCCTAAAAATCCGATTTTTTTCTGCCCCAAAAATTCAATTTTTTACCCCAAATTTTCTCCTTAAAATTCAATTTTTGACCCTAAAATTTTCCCCCAAAAATTCAATTTTTTCTCTCTAAAAATTCGATTTTTCGCCTCATTTTTTGACCAAAATTCCCCAAAAATTCAAATTTTTCCCCCAAAAATTCAAATTTTCCCCCCCAGGTGTTGTTTTGACCAAAAAAGGGGAAATTCCCCCCAAAAAGCCCCAATTTCCCCTTTTTTTGTTGTTTTCGAAACTTTTTTGGGGCCGAATTTCCCCTTTTTGGGGCCCTTTTGGTTTCGGTTCCTTTTTTTATTTTGGGGGGAAAAAAAGGGGAAAAAATTCAATTTTTTATTGATTTTTAATCGATTTTTAATCAAATTTTAATTGATTTTTAATCGAGTTTTAATTGGATTTTAATTGAATTTTAATTCGAATTTAATTGGATTTTTAATCGATTTTTAATCACATTTTAATCAATTTAAATTTGATTTTTAATTGATTTTTAATTGATTTTAATTGATTTTTTAAATCCCTTTTAAATTGATTTTTCATCGACTTTAATTGGGTTTTTAATTAGTTGTGATTAAATTAAATTAAATTTAATTTAAAATAAATTTTAACAAATTTAATTTTCCCCTTTTTGGGGCCCTTTTGGTTTCGGTTCCTTTTTTTATTTTGGGGGGAAAAAAGGGGAAAAAATTCAATTTTTTATTGATTTTTAATCGATTTTTAATCAAATTTTAATTGATTTTTAATCGAGTTTTAATTGGATTTTAATTGAATTTTAATTCGAATTTAATTGGATTTTTAATCGATTTTTAATCACATTTTAATCAATTTAAATTTGATTTTTAATTGATTTTTAATTGATTTTAATTGATATTTAATCCCTTTATAAATTGATTTTTCATCGACTTTAATTGGGATTTTAATTAGTTTTGATTAAATTAAATTAAAATTAAAATTTAAAATAAATTTTAACAAATTTAATTAATTTAATTTCATTAAATTTAAATTTAAATTTAATTTAAATTTAATTAATTTTAAAATATTTCCTACCTAAAAAATCCCTAAAATTGAATTTTTTTACCCAATAATCCTAATTAATTAATTAATTAATTAAAGCCCAAAATCGACATTTTTTAACCCAAATCTCGCCTAAAAAAATCACCAAAAAATTGAATTTTCACCAAAAATAAAAAGAGATTTTTTTGTCCTTAAAACCTCGAATTTTCCTCCCTAAAAATCCGAATTTTCCCTGAAAAAAAACCCAAATTTTTGTCCTTAAAAATCCGAATTTTTTCCCTTAAACCCCCAAATTTTCTACCCAAAAAAATCAAAATTTTTTGCCCTAAAAAATCAAAATTTTGCCCCAAAAAATTCCATTTTTATTCCTAAAATTTCCAATTTTTACCCCTAAAAATCCGAATTTTTATGCCTAAAAATCCAAAATTTTGACCCTACAAATATGAAATTTTATTCTTAAAATACCAAATTTTTATCCCCAAAAATCTGAATTTTTGCACTTAAAATTTTAAATTTTCGTCCCTAAAAAATTCCAATTTTTTTATCCCTTAAAAACTCAATTTTTTCGACTTAAAAATCCAAATTCTCGCCCCTAAAAATTCAATTTTTTTCACCGAAAACCCCCGAATTTTTAGCCTTAAAAATCCAATTTTTCGGACTTAAAAATCCAGATTTTCTCCCCAAAAAATTCAATTTTTTGTCCCTAAAAAATTCGATTTTTTTACCCCTAAAAATCTGAATTTTTACTGAAAAAATCCGATTTTCCCCCCTTAAAAATTCAAATTTTTATTTCGTCCCTAAAAAATTCCAATTTTTTTATCCCTTAAAAACTCAATTTTTTCGACTTAAAAATCCAAATTCTCGCCCCTAAAAATTCAATTTTTTTCACCCAAAAACCCCCGAATTTTTATCCTTAAAAATCCAATTTTTCGGACCTAAAAATCCAGATTTTCTCCCCAAAAAATTCAATTTTTTGTCCCTAAAATATTCGACTTTTTACCCCTAAAAATCTGAATTTTTACCGAAAAAATCCGATTTTTCCCCCCTTAAAAATTCAAATTTTTGCCCCTAAAAATCCAAATTTTCGGGCTTAAAACCCCGAATTTTTGCCCCGAAAAATTCAATTTTTTTACACCCAAAAATATCGCATTTTTAACCCTAAAAAATCTAATTTTTGGACATAAAAATTCAAATTTTTCAGACTTAAAAATCCACTTTTTTCCCTAAAAAATCACTTTTTTTTTCCCTAAAAAAATCCAATTTTTCCCCTAAAAATTTGATTTTTTTACCCCTAAAAAAAAATCACCAAAAACTTGAATTTTCACCAAAAATAAAAAGAGATTTTTTTGTCCTTAAAACCTCGAATTTTCCTCCCTAAAAATCCGAATTTTCCCTGAAAAAAAACCCAAATTTTTGTCCTTAAAAATCCGAATTTTTTCCCTTAAACCCCCAAATTTTCTACCCAAAAAAATCAAATTTTTTTGCCCTAAAATATCAAATTTTTGCCCCAAAAAATTCCATTTTTATTCCTAAAAATTCCAATTTTTACCCCTAAAAATCCAAAATTTTGACCCTAAAAATATGAAATTTTATTCTTAAAATACCAAATTTTTATCCCCAAAAATCTGAATTTTTGCACTTAAAATTTTAAATTTTCGTCCCTAAAAAATTCCAATTTTTTACCCCTTAAAAACTCAATTTTTTCGACTTAAAAATCCAAATTCTCGCCCCTAAAAATTCAATTTTTTTCACCCAAAAACCCCCGAATTTTTATCCTTAAAAATCCAATTTTTCGGACCTAAAAATCCAGATTTTCTCCCCAAAAAATTCAATTTTTTGTCCCTAAAATATTCGACTTTTTACCCCTAAAAATCTGAATTTTTACCGAAAAAATCCGATTTTTCCCCCCTTAAAAATTCAAATTTTTGCCCCTAAAAATCCAAATTTTCGGGCTTAAAACCCCGAATTTTTGCCCCGAAAAATTCAATTTTTTACACCCAAAAATATCGCATTTTTAACCCTAAAAAATCTAATTTTTGGACATAAAAATTCAAATTTTTCAGACTTAAAAATCCACTTTTTTCCCTAAAAAATCACTTTTTTTTTCCCTAAAAAAATCCAATTTTTCCCCTAAAAATTTGATTTTTTTACCCCTAAAAAATCCAAATTTTTGCCCCTAAAAATCCAAATTTTCGGGCTTAAAAAGCCAAATTTTCGTTCCTAAAAATTCAAATTTTTCACCCAAAAATATCGAAATTTTAACCCTAAAAATTACAATTTTTTGGACCTAAAAATTCAAATTTTTGGACCTAAAAATTCAAATTTTTCCGACTTAAAAATCCAATTTTTTTTCCCTAAAAACATCCAATTTTTCCCCTAAAAATTTGAATTTTTTACCCCTAAAAATTACAATTTTTTGGACCTAAAAATTCAAATTTTTCCGACTTAAAAATCCAGTTTTTTGCCTAAAAAAATCACAATTTTTTTCCCTAAAAAAATCCCATTTTTCCCCTAAAAATTTGAATTTTTTACCCCTCAAAAATCCAATTTTCGGACCTAAAAATTCAATTTTTCCGACTTAAAAATCCACTTTTTTTTCCCTAAAAAATCACAATTTTTTTCCCTAAAAAATCCAATTTTTCCCCTAAAAATTTGAATTTTTTACCCCTCAAAAATCCAATTTTCGGACCTAAAAATTCAATTTTTTGCCCAAAAAATTCAAATTTTCTCCCTTAAAAAATCCAAATTCCCGCGCCTTGAACCCCGAGATTTTCCCGCCAAAACCCCGAGATTTTCCCGCCAAACCCCGAGATTTTCCCGCCAAACCCTGGGATTTTCCCGCCAAACGCCCCCGGGGGTTTTTAATTCCCGCGCCTTGAACCCCGAGATTTTCCCGCCAAAACCCCGAGATTTTCCCGCCAAACCCCGAGATTTTCCCGCCAAACGCCCCCGGGGGGTTTTCGGGGGCGGGGAATCCGAATTCGGGGCGGGAAATGGGGAATTTTGGGTGGAAAAAGGCGGATTTTGGGGCCGGACTCACCGCTGGACACCGTGACCGTCGTGCCGCTGCCCCAGGCGTCAATAGCGACCCACGGTGGGCGGGGCCGGGGCCGGGCCCGCGCAAAAACCGGGGCGAGAAACGGCGGGATTGGGAAAAAATGGGAAAAATGGGGGGAAATCGGAAAAAATAGGGAAAAATTGGGAAAAAATGGGAAAAATGGGGGGGAAAAAGGGGAAAACTTTGGAAAAAAATGGGGGGAAAATGGGGAAAAATTTGGAAAAAAATGGGGAAAAAATCAAAAAAATGGGGAAAAAATGGGGAAAACTTTGGGAAAAAATGGGGGGAAAATTTGGGAAAAAATGGGGAAAAAATAGGGAAAAATTTAGAAAAAATAGGGAAAAAATTGGGGAAAATGGGGGAAAATTTGGGAAAAAATGGGGAAAAAATTTGGAAAAAATTGGGAAAAAAATCGGAAAAAATAGGGAAAAAATGGGGGAAAATTTGGAAAAAATGGGGAAAAAATCGGAAAAAAATGGGGAAAAATTTGGAAAAATGGGGGGAAAATCGGAAAAAATAGGGAAAAAATTGGGAAAAAATGGGGGAAAATTTGGAAAAAAATGGGGGGGAAATCGGGAAAAAATAGGAAAATTTTGCAAAAAAATGGGGAAAAATTTGGAAAAAAATGGGGAAAAAATCGGAAAAAATGGGGAAATATTTGCAAAAAAAATCGGAAAAAAATGGGGAAAAATTTGCAAAAAAAATGGGGAAAAAATTTGGAAAAATGGGGGAAAATTTGGAAAAAATGGGGGGGAAATCGGGAAAAAATGGGGAAAATTTGCAAAAAAATGGGGGGAAATCGGAAAAAATGGGAAAAAAATTGGAAAAAAATGGGGGGAAAATGGGGAAAAAAATGGGGGAAAATCGGGAAAAAAATGGGGGAAAATTTGTAAAAAATGGGGAAAAATCGGAAAAAAATGGGGAAAAATTTGGAAAAAATGGTGAAAAATTTGGAAAAAAATAGGGAAAAAATCGGAAAAAATGGGGGAAAATTTGGAAAAAATGGGGGAAAAATCGGGAAAAAATGGGAAAAAATTTGCAAAAAAATGGGGAAAAATTTGGAAAAAATGGTGAAAAATTTGGAAAAAAATAGGGAAAAAATCGGAAAAAATGGGGGAAAATTTGGAAAAAATGGGGGAAAAATCGGGAAAAAATGGGAAAAAATTTGCAAAAAAATGGGGAAAAATTTGGAAAAAATGGTGAAAAATTTGGAAAAAAATAGGGAAAAAATCGGAAAAAATGGGGGAAAATTTGGAAAAAATGGGGGAAAAATCGGGAAAAAATGGGAAAAAATTTGCGAAAATTTTGCAAAAAAATGGGGAAAAATTTGGAAAAAATGGTGAAAAATTTGGAAAAAAATAGGGAAAAAATCGGAAAAAATGGGGGAAAATTTGGGAAAAAAATGGGGAAAATTTGGAAAAAAATGCGGAAGAATTTGGAAAAAATGGGGGAAAAATGGGGGGAAAATGGGGAAAAAATGGGGAAAATTTTGCAAAAAAATGGGGAAAAAATCGGAAAAAATGGGGAAAAATTTGGAAAAAAATGGGGAAAAAATCGGAAAAAAAAAAGGGGAAAAATTTGGAAAAATATAGGGAAAAAAATGGGGGGAAAATGGATGAAAATAGGGGAAAATTTTGGGGAAAAAAGGGGGGAAATGGGGGGAAAATCGGGAAAAAATGGGGGGAAAATGTGGGAAAGAATGGGGAAAAAATCGGAAAAAATGGGGAAAAAATGGATAAAAATATGGGAAAATTTTGGGGGAAAAAAGGGAGGAATTGGAGGGGTTTTGATGGTTTTTCACTCGCTTTTTCCCCCCAAAAAAAGCATTTTTACCTCACAAAAAAACCCCGATTTTTCGCCACAAAATCCACGATTTTTGCCCAAAAACCCCCAAAATTTCCTGAAAAAAAATCCCATTTTTTCCCCAAAAAATCCGATTTTTCTCCACAAAAACCCCGATTTTTACCCCAAAAAACCCCAAATTTTTCCCCATTTTCCTGCTAAAAAATCCCATTTTTACCCCCCAAAAAACCCCATTTTTCCCCCAAAAACCCGCGATTTTTACCCCCCAAAACCCCCGATTTTTACAACAAAAAACCCAAATTTTCCTGAAAAAAAATCCCAATTTTTGCCCCAAAAAACCCCAATTTTGCCCCATTTTCCCCCATGTTTTCCTGCAAAAAAATCTCATTTTTACCCCCTTAAAAAAATCCAATTTTTCTCCCCAAAAACCCCGATTTTTACCCCAAAAAACCTCAAATTTTTCCCCATTTTCCTGCAAAAAAATCTCATTTTTACCCCCTTAAAAAAATCCAATTTTTCTCCCCAAAAACCCCGATTTTTACCCCAAAAAACCTCAAATTTTTCCCCATTTTCCTGCAAACAATCCCAATTTTTTCCCCATTTTTACCCTTAAAAATCCCAATTTTTGCCCCCAATTTTCCCCCCAAAAACCCCCATTTTTACCCCAAAAAAATCCAATTTTTTTCCCCAAATCCCTCCCATTTTTACCCTAAAAACTCCAATTTTTTCCCTTAAAAAAAAGCAAAAATCGGGGAAAATTGGGGAAAAAAAAGGGAAAAAATGGGGAAAAAAAATTTGAGATTTTTGGGGCAAAATTGGGAAAATTTGGGGGTTTTTGGGGGGTAAAAATTAAGGTTTTTTGGGGGAAAAATGTGATTTTTTTTCGGGGTAAAAATGGGGAAATTTTGGGATTTTTGGGGGGTAAAAATTGGGGAGGTTTTGTGTAAAAATGGGGAAAAATTTGGGATTTTTTTAGGGTAAAAATGAGGATTTTTGGGGAAAATTTGGGGGTTTTTTTGGGTAAAAAATGGGGATTTTTGGAGGGAAAATTGGGATTTTTGGGAGTAAAAATGAATTTATTTTGGGGTAAAAATGGGGATTTTTGGGTTTTTTTGAGAGATTTTTTGGTTTTTTTTTTAAAAGTTTTTTTAAAATTTTTTTTAGGTTTTTTTTTTTAAATTTTAAATTTTTTTGGGTTTTTTTTAGGGATTTCTGGGGGGGTTTTGAGAGTTTTTTTTAGTGTTTTTTGGGGTAAAAAGGGGATTTTTAAAGGTTTTTTTGGGGTAAAAATCGGAGGATTTTTGGGGAAAATTTGGGGGTTTTTTTGGGTAAAAAATGGGGATTTTTGGAGGGAAAATTGGGATTTTTGGGAGTAAAAATGAATTTATTTTGGGGTAAAAATGGGGATTTTTGGGTTTTTTTGAGAGATTTTTTGGGTTTTTTTTAAAAAGTTTTTTTTAAATTTTTTTTAGGTTTTTTTTTTTAAATTTTAAATTTTTTTGGGTTTTTTTTAGGGATTTCTGGGGGGGTTTTGAGAGTTTTTTTTAGTGTTTTTTGGGGTAAAAAGGGGATTTTAAAAGGTTTTTTTGGGGTAAAAATTGGGGTTTTTAGGGGGGTTTGGATACAGGAAAAAGGGAAGGAAAAATTTGGGGTAAAAAATGAGGAAATTGGGAAAAAAATTCATTATTTTGGTTTTTTTGGGATAAAAAGGGAAAAAATGCGGATTTTGGAGGTTTGGGTTACGGGGAGAGGGGGAAATTTGGGTTGAAAAAGGGAAAATTAGTAAATGTGGAGGTTTTGAGGTAAAAATGTGGATTTTGGGGGTTTGGGGTTTTTAGGGGTTTTTGGGTGTGGGAAAAGGGGAAAAAATGGGGTAAAAAAAGAGAAAAATGGGAAAAATGGGGTAAAAAAGGGTTACGGGGAGAGGGGGAAATTTGGGTTGAAAAAGGGAAAATTAATAAATGTGGAGGTTTTGAGGTAAAAATGTGGATTTTGGGGGTTTGGGGGTTTTTAGGGGTTTTTGGGTGTGGGAAAAGGGGAAAAATGGGGTAAAAAAGGAGAAAAAATGGGAAAAAAAGGGAAAAATGGTAAAAAATGGGGTAAAAAAAGAGAAAAAATGGGAAAAAATGGGAAAAAATGGGAAAAAATGGGGTAAAAAAGAGAAAAAATGGGAAAAAATGGTAAAAAATGGGGGAAAAAAAGAGAAAAAATGGGGTAAAAAAAGGAGAAAAAATGGGAAAAATGGGAAAAAATGGGGTAAAAAAAGAGAAAAAAGGGAAAAAACTGGTAAAAAATGGGGTAAAAAAGAGAAAAAATGGGAAAAAATGGGGAAAAATGGGGTAAAAAAGGAGAAAAATGGCAAAAAATGGGAAAAAATGGGGTAAAAAAAGAGAAAAATGGGAAAAATGGGGTAAAAAAAAGAGAAAAAATGGGGGAAAAAAAGAGAAAAAATGGGGTAAAAAAGGAGAAAAAATAGGAAAAGAAGGGAAAAAATGGGGTAAAAAAAAAGAGAAAAAATGGGAAAAAATGGGGTAAAAAGAGAGAAAAAATGGGAAAAAATGGGGTAAAAAAGAGAAAAAATGGGAAAAAAAAGAGAAAAAATGGGAAAAATGGGTAAAAATGGGGTAAAAAAAAGAGAAAAAAATGGGAAAAAAATGGGAAAAAATGGGAAAATCCGGTGGGATTTGGGTTAAAAATGTCAAAATTTGGGGAAAATGGGAATTTTTGGGGTGAAATTTGGGGGTTTTGGGAGAAAATCTGGGGGAAAAGGGAAAAAATGGGGGAAAAATTGAGATTTTTGGGAAAAAATTTGAGATTTTTGGGGAAAAATGGGAAAAAACCGGGTGGGATTTGGGTTAAAAATGTCAGAATTTGGGAAAAGGGGATTTTTTGGGGTAAAAAAAGGAGAAAATCCGGTGGGATTTGGGTTAAAAATGTCAAAATTTGGGGAAAATGGGAATTTTTGGGGTGAAATTTGGGGGTTTTGGGAGAAAATCTGGGGGGGGAAAAGGGAAAAAATGGAGATATTTGGGGTTAAAAAGGGAAAAAATGGGGAAAATTGAGATTTTTTTGGGGAAAATGGGGAAAAAATTGAGATTTTTTTTGGGAAAATTGGGAAAAATTTGAGATATTTTGGGGAAAATGGGGAAAATGGGAGGGATTTGAGGTTAAAAAGGAGAAAAACGGGAAAAAATGGAGAAATTTTTGGGGAAAGAAGGAAAAT